CACGTCCATCACCCTCCCCTCTGCCTTCTCCCTGCCCTGCCCTGCCCTGCCCCGCCCCCGGGAGCCAGGCAGCAGGTGCCCGGTGAGGGTGATGCTGAGGAGCAGCAGCTCAGCACGCTCCCCATTGGCACACGGAGCTACCAGCACCGCGCCTGGAGACAGCCCGTGCTGTGGTCAGTGACCTCCAACCCCACAGACAGACCCATGTCCCCCACTCTGTGCGTGGGAGGAGGTCACTGATACCAGCTGTCTCTGCTCCATGGCCGGGCCTGATCCCTGCCTGGGAGGAGTCCAGCGAATTGGGTGTAGACAGCTGTGTCTTGGTTTAGGGATGTTGCTAGTTCCTTGATCTTACTGAGATATGGGACACTGCGCCGGCTGGTAATTAGGAGGATCTGCTGAGTCCATAGACCAGGGGTCAGCAGCCTTTGGCACCCGGCCCGTCAGGGTAAAGCCGCTGGTGTGCCAGGACAGTTTGTTTACCTGGAGCATCCTCAGGCACGGGGCCTCGGCCCGTGCTGCTTCCTGCAGCTCCCATTGGCTGGGAACGATGACCCCTGTGCCTGTGGTGACCAAACTGTCCAGGCCCACCAGGGCTTTACCCTGACGGGCCGGTGCCAAAGGTTGCCGACCCCTTCCATAGACATTGTTAGTGAGAACTGGCTGGATTAGGTGTGCTGCAGGGTGGGCGTTGGGGTTACCTCCTCTTGGCGATGCTGCCAATCTCTCCGAAAGGGCTCGGCCTGCTCCTGGGGATCGTTCACTCCCCACGTTGGGCACAGAGTCAAGTGACATGCGCTGTATCCCAAAGATCTGCCCATGAACCTCAATCTGATTTCACAGCACCTCTCCCCTTCCAATCCTGGGGCTGCAGCCTTCCCTCCCTACCCACCTCTATATCTCCAGTTTACCCTGTTCCAGCCTCATTTCAAACCAGCCCCAACTTGCTGCATCCGGCGCTTCTCCAGTCTTGGACCCACAGCTGTGCCAATAAACTTCAGTCCTTGTCTGCTGCTTCTGTCTGGGACCGAACACAGCTCCATTAACAGGCCTCAGTCCGGAATGCAGCACTCCCCAGTCCTCCAGTCCTTGGTCTGTCCTCACCAGATGGTGCAAAGTGCTGTGCTGTGCGAGGTTTTCCCAGTGTATAAAGGTTCACTAGGATGAGACGTAGGCTCACTTCACTGTCAGCAGGAGTCATTTGGATCCAACACCTCTAGGATTTAACAATTAGATCAGTAACCCCCTTGGCTGCCCATTTACCCTTCCATAGAAAGTTAAAGCATTAAGCCAAGTGTGAGCACAGGGCCATAAATCTTAGTTCTCTGCCACCTCTCTGGTACCTGCGCAGTGATGTTCTGAATCTGTCACACTTGTTCCCAACAGGGCTGGGGAGCGGCAGCCGACTCACTGGGGAATCAGAACTGAGGATCATCCTCGTCGGTAAGAGTGGAGGTGGGAAAAGTGCAACAGGAAACACCATCCTTGGGCGGGAGGAGTTTGAGTCCGTACTGGAGGCAACGCCCATTACTCAGACATGCACTGAAGGCAGCAGCACCTGGAAAGGAAAGAAGGTTGTGGCTATCGACATACCTGCTATTGTTGACACAGAGCACTCTGATGAACAAACTGACCATGAGATCAGTCACTGTATGGAGCTCTCCTCCCCAGGCCCCCACGCTCTGGTGCTGATGGCCCAGCTGGGCCGTTACACTGAGGAAGACCAGCACACCGTGAAGAGAGTAAAAGAGATTTTTGGCCCCAGGGCCATGAAGTACACAATCGTCTTATTCATCCACAGAGAAGCCTTACGGAGTGGAACCCTGGAGGAATATATCTCCCACACGGATAACAAACAGCTTCAGGAGGTGATCGAACAGTGTCAGGGCCGATACTGCGCTTTCAACAATAAAGCTACAGGGGATGAACAGGCTGCCCAGGCTAAAGAGCTGATGACTAAGATTGCTCAAATGGTGGAGAGGAATAAAGACCATCCGTTCTACACCAATGAGGTGTATGAAAAGGTTGAGAAGCTTCTAAAGGAAAAAGCCCTATTTTATGAGAAAGATGAAAGGCCACGTTGGTGTGAAATAGGGGAGGCTGAGATGAGAAAATTGAAGGAAACACAGAAATCCTATGAGGAAAAACAAAAATCCAAGGCTGATCAAAATAAGCATGGCACTGGAAAAGGGAACTTTCAGAAATCCAAGTGTCTCAAAGCCAAAATGCCTGAAGTTCTGAAATTATGGTAACTGAGCTACGTCTATTGTCTGGTTCTCCTGTGGTTTTACCAGGCTTTGTAGAGGCTCAGGAATTAGAGATGGAGGGAAAAGAACTTTTCACTCTTCTTAGGTAAAATTTTCAAAGCGCCTCAGGGTGTGTCTGCACGGCATTTTGGAGTGCGCGGGAGCACGTCTCCCAGCCCAGGTTGATAAAAGCCCACCCAAACCCTTAGGCTCCAGAACCCGAGCTTCAGCTCGAGCTGAAACTTCCCAGAGCTGTCTCTAAAGCTGTTTTTAGAGCACCAGTGTGAGCCCTGCTAGCCCAGGCTGGGATGCTTGCTCCAAAATGCTGTGCAGACGTACTCCACAGCCTATGTCTCATTTTCTCCAGGTCTTGGAGGATTGAGACTTTGGAGGATTGTTCCAGACAATATCTACTCCAATGTGTTGTTCCATTCAGTCTTAAACAAATCACTGATGGAAATCATCTGTTTGTTGATGAAAGTCCTGTTATCTGTTAAGAAAATATCCTGTTACCCTAAGTGTTCTTTCCTTCAATTTCATCCAGTTATACCCACGTATAAATCTTTGGCCCATCCTAAACAATTCAGTTCTTCCAAATGCCCAATCCATTTTACTGCTCTTCTCCAGCACCCCTATAATTCACCTTTTCTGGTAGTGAAATGCCAAGGTCTGAAAGCACCATTCCAGGAGTGATCGCTCCAAGAGTTCTAGCCAGCCCTGTCACCTCCCTGCTCGGGGACATGATGGCTCTGCAGCCCAAAGGCAGATTGGCTTTGTCTGCTAGCACCTCACATGGCAAATTCACGTCTAATGTGTGTGTTTCCCTCAAATCCCATAATCTCTAAAAAGTCATTAAAGGAATTTCACTGTTTCATAACCCTACAAATTCCTAAGTCCTGCATCGCAACAGCTCATATGTCCTCACCCTATATTAGTGCAGGATGTTTATACAGAGATCAGTATGTCAAACCATAATTAGCATTTGTTCTTTACTAATATTACGTCCTGAGAAATCTGTACCACAGACATCTTATTGTGAAGACATGTCTTAGGAGACCGCTGTAGTATAAACCTCTCAAAATTAAACAAACATTGTTTAGAGATACGTCAGAATTATTTTATATTCATGTTTTGATTTATGATGAAAATGAAATTGAGCCGGTAATCTAAGGTTCTGATGAATGAAATATTAGACAGTTGTAGTGAAAAATATATGAAATAACCAAATTAATGGTAATTTTTACATCCTGGTAGAGTGAGACTTTTAAAAAAGTTATTGATACATTGGTTGCCAAACTTGTGAAAGACTGCAGAAGATACATGCCCTTTAAAGTGAGAGAACCTAACGAGCATTCTCTTTGTTCTTCTAAAGTATTAAAAAAGTAACAGTTTTCTGGTAACAAATATTAGAATTGTACATGCAAGATCAGGTCTGGATTCTGCTTTCTCTAACTCTAATTTGGTTTGTCTTTAAAAACTATGCTTACAGTTTGCACTTGTATTTCAATGAGTTACAATAAAATATTTTCGTCTCTATTTTATGTGGTTACAAATACAGGATTTTTTTGTTTTGTTCCCTTAGGGTGAAAATCACCCTAGTGCAGAGAGTCAGCACCAGGCCAAGGCACCACTTTAAACCCACTTATGTACTTAAAATACGTCTTTAAGTGGATTTAAATGATAGTGCTGTGTGTGCTGCCTCTGTACAGGGGTGAAATTCACCCATAACATTTCAGTTACAGGCCCCATCTCTGAACATGTTTATATTGACACTTAGATAAAAAAGAATTTAGACTTTTTTAAAAATCAGAGAACTCATTAAAATATTTCAATGTGTTTGTAAAAATCATAAGCTGACATTGAACACCAGCCATAATAACATAAGAATGGCCACACTGGGTCAGACCAATGGTCCATCTAGCCCAGGATCCCATCTTCCAACAGTGGCCAGTGTCAGGTACTTAAGAGGGAATGGATAGAGCCAGCAGCTATCGAGTGATCCTACCCTCTTGTCCACTCCCAGCTTCTGGTGGTCAGAGTTTTAGGACACCCAGAGCACAGGGATTGAGTCACTGATCATCTTGGCTAATAGCCATTGATGGACTTATCCTCCATCAACTTATCTAATTGTTTTTTGAACACTGGTATATTTTTGGCCTTTGCAACATCCCCTGGCAATGAATTCCACAGGCTGACTGTGTGTTGTGTGAAGAAGTACTTCCTTTTGTTTGTTTTAAACCTACTGCCTATTCATTTCATCGGATCACCTCTAGTTCTTGTGTTATGTGAAGAGGTCAGTAACACGGCCCTATTCCCTTTCTCAATACCATTCATAATTGTACAGACTCTATCCTATTCCCCTTAGTCGTCTCTTTTTTAAATTGAACAATCCTAGTCTTTTTAATCTCTCCTTGCATGGAAGCTGTTCCATATATTTTTGTTAGCTTCTCTGTACATTTTCCATTTCTAATATATCCTTTTACAGGTGCGGTGCCCAGAACTGCACAGCATGGATGTATATAGTGGCAGATATTGTCGTTATCAATCCTTTTCCTACTAGTTCCTGTCATTCTGTTCGGTTTTTTTGACTGCCTCTGCACATTGACAGGTTTCAGAGTAGCAGCCGTGTTAGTCTGTATCTGCAGAAAGAACAGGAGTACTTGTGGCACCTTACAGACTAACAAATTTATTTGAGCATAAGCTTTCGTGGGCTACATCCGATCAAGTGGGCTGTAGCCCACGAAAGCTTATGCTCAAATAAATTTGTTAGTCTGTAAGGTGCCACAAGTACTCCTGTTCTTTCTGCACATTGAGCAGATGTTTTCAGAGAACATGACTCCAACATCTCCTTCTTGGGTAGTAACAGCCAATTTAGACCCCCTCATTTTGTATGTATAGTTGGGATTATATTTTCCAACATGCATTACTTTGTACTTATCAATACTGAATTTCATCTGGAAATTTGTTGCCTGGTCACCCAGTTTTGTTAGATCCCTTTGTAATTCTTTGCAGTCAGTTTTGGGCTTAACTATCTTGAGTAATTTTGCATCATCTGCAAACTTTGCCTTCTCGCGCTTTACCCATTTTTCTAGGTCATTTATGAATATGTTAAAGAGGACAGGTCCCAATACAGATTGTTGGGGGACTCCACTATTTACCACTTTCCATTGTGAAAACTCACCATTTATTCCTACCCTTTGTTACCAATTAATGATCCATGAAAGAAAGGACCTGCCCTCTTATCCCATGACTGATTACTTTGCTTAGGAGCCTTTGTTGTGAGACCTTGTCAAAAGCTTTTTGAAAGCCCAAGTACTCTATATCCACTGGAATCCTCTTGTCCACATGCTTGGTGACACCCTCAAAGAATTCTAATAGATTGGTGAGGCATGATTTCCCTTTACTAAAACCATGTTGGTTCTTCCCCAACAAATCATGTTCAGCTATGTGTCTGATAATTTTGTTCTTTAGTTTCAACCAATTTCCCCGATACTGAAGCCAGGCTTACTGGCATGTCGTTGCCAGGATCTCCTCTGGAGCCCTTTTAAAAAATTGGTGTCACCTCAGCTACCCTCCAGTTATCTGGTACAGAGGCTGCTTTAAGCAATAGTTTACATACCACAGTTAGTAGTTCTGCAATTTCACATTTGAGTTCCTCCAAAATGCTTGGGTGATACCATCTGGTCCTGGTCACTTATTACTGTTTAATTTATCAATTTCTTCCCAAACCATCTCTACTGACACCTCAGTCTGGCACAGTTCCTCAGATTTGTCACCTAAGAAGTATGGCTCGGGTTCAGGGATCACCTTCCCGCCCTCTGCAGTGAAGACTGATGCATATAATTCATGAAGCTTCTCTGTAACAGCCTTGACTGCTTCTTTAGCACCTTGATTCTTCAGCTGTCCCACTGATTGTTTGCCAAGCTTCCTGCTTCTGATGTACTTTAAAGGGTTGTCTCATACATAAGAAAATAACATAAGAACATAAGAACGGCCGAACCGGGTCAGACCAAAGGTCCATCTAGCCCAGTATCCTGTCTACCGGCAGTGGCCAATGCCAGGTGCCCCAGAGGGAATGGACCAACAGGCAATGATCAAGTGATCTCTCTCCTGCCATCCATCTCCATCCTCTGACAAACAGAGGCTAGGGACACCATTCCTTACCCATCCTGGCTAATAGCCATTAATGGACTTAACCACCATGAATTTATCCAGTTCTCTTTTAAATGCGGTTATAGTCCTAGCCTTCACAACCTCCTCAGGTAAGGAGTTCCACAAGTTGACTGTGCGCTGCGTGAAGAAGAACTTCCTTGTATTTGTTTTAAACCTGCTGCCTATTAATTTCATTTGGTGACCCCTAGTTCTTGTGTTATGGGAATAAGTAAATAACTTTTCCTTATCCACTTTCTCCACATCACTCATGATTTTATATACCTCTATCATATCCCCCCTTAGTCTCCTCTTTTCCAAGCTGAAGAGTCCTAGCCTCTTTAATCTCTCCTCATCTGGGACCCGTTCCAAACCCCTAATCATTTTAGTTGCCCTTTTCTGAACCTTTTCTAGTGCCAGTATATCTTTTTTTAGATGAGGAGACCACATCTGTACGCAGTATTCAAGATGTGGTCATACCATCAATTTATATAAGGGCAATAATATATTCTCAGTCTTATTCTCTATCCCCTTTTTAATGATTCCTAACATCCTGTTTGCTTTTTTGACCGCCTCTGCACACTGTGCGGACATCTTCAAAGAACTATCCACGATGACTCCAAGATCTTTTTCCTGACTTGTTGTAGCTAAATTAGCCCCCATCATATTGTATGTATAGTTGGGGTTATTTTTTCCAATGTGCAGTACTTTACATTTATCCACATTAAATTTCATTTGCCATTTTGTTGCCCAATCACTTAGTTTTGTGAGATCTTTTTGAAGTTCATCACAGTCTGCTTTGGTCTTAACTATCTTGAGCAGTTTAGTATCATCTGCAAACTTCGCCACCTCACTGT